AAAAAAGGTTTTCAGTCTTATCATGTGATCTCGTCACACTCATCATCCTGAAAGTATCTTGTTTATCTAGCTTCAGCAATATGCACGTATAAAAGTAATATCCTAATTAAGAAATAACTAAACTATATAATAATAATAATATTATGTTTCAGTCAGAATACTTGATATAAATAAATTGAAAAATGATGACTTTTAAATAATATTTTATTTAAGAAATGTTTGTAACAAAGAAAATACTTTTTTTAATATTTACAACAAGTTCATTTTCTTCAAAGTTTAAGTTGCACCATGGACTGAATGCACACACCCACAACCATCAACCACATTTACAGGTAAAAAAATGATATTTCTGGCTCAAAGATCCAGTTGCACCATGGACTGAATGCACACACCCACAACCATCAACCACATTTACAGGTGAAAAACTGATATTTCTGGCTCAAAGATACAGTTGCACCATGGACTGAATGCACACACCCACAACCATCAACCACATTTACAGGTAAAAAAACTGATATTTCTGGCTCAAAGTTTCAGTTGCACCAGGGACTGTATGCACACACACAAAACCATCAACCACATTTACAGGTGAAAAATGATATTTCTGGCTCAAAGATCCAGTTGCACCACATGGTGAATGCACACACCCACAACCATCAACCACATTTACAGGTAAAACAATGATATTTCTGGCTCATAGTTTCAGTTGCATCACATCCTGAATACACTCAACAAGTGCATGGGCGACAACCTCATTTACAAGTAAAACAATATTTATGATCAATGTATTTGCAGCTATCTTTTTTTAATTATGCCATTATATAAAGTTGTAAGAATTTTTCCTGTAACAATAATGATCTCCAAATACACTTTCAAACAACTTGTACCATAGCATGTTTTCAACAAAAATCTCAATTCATTTCACACATTTTGCAGAGGTACAAATATAAGCATTATCATAGAACTTACAAGTGTAAGAGAAACACTACATGATATCGTGTGAGCTTGGCTTAATCAAGGCCATAATTTGGCACAAGTAATACATTTCTACTCTATCAAATAGATTTTATCTATCTAAAGATAATATACAAAAATCTACACAATGCAGCAGTGTTAACTTAAATGAATAAAACAACTGAAATGCTTTTGTCAGAAAATGAACACTTTCTTCATTTTAATTTCTAGTTACAACTTTGTGTTAAAACAAAACCTTCATGTAACTTTAATCAATAATGAAATTAGGAAATATATCTTCCAATATTCTGAAGAAAGCTCTTAAGGAATACCAGGAAAAAACAAACCCATTCCGCTTCTTTGCATTGCAAAAGTTGGAACAGCACATTTCAGTATGAAGCCAATGAAGAATAATTGCAAGTAAATAAAATAATCCTCGTGATCAAACTTAATATGGGAATTTAGCAATCTAGTAGGATTGGTGAAGTTAGGTCTGAGCCAACTTTTTTCTGTGATACTGTTGTAGTTTAACCATTCTGCAACAAGGAAATTTTATAACGCATTTTTGTTCTATATTTTCATATGAAATGACATACTGAGCTTACTAGAACAATGGAAGTACCAGCTCAGTTTGGATAAAAATGATATTAATCCCAAGCAAATGAAATCAACATTTGAGTTTAACTTAATCTTCAATTAAAAAAACAACCCATGATTTCAATTTATCATCAAACCTTTGAGCACAAGGAAGAATACACAGAAGAAACACTACAAACTTAACAACCATAATTTGAAAAGTAAGTGTCTGTACAATTAATTGTTCACCCTGTATCTTAGAATTACTGACATTTGCAAATATTATGGTTTAAAGATAGGAACAACTGTATGAAAAAGGCCAAACTTTGAAACCACTTCAGTGATTTCTGGAACAGTAAAAACAGAACTTAATAAAACCATACTTTAAAAATAACAACCGAAATGTGTTCTATTATATAGATGTTTAATGAAGTTAACTTGCTAGCTGCCAGATAATTTTAGATAATCAAAGGAATACCTTGGTAAAGAAATTCGGGTAGAAACCTTCTAATGTAGCAATAAAAACAATTAGACTTTGTTAGGCTTATTACTACACCTCAAAATAAGACATGAAATTTGTCAGTATAGCTCCAGATAAGATGAGTATCCATGTAAATATGTATTTTTTTTACAAGAAAGCATTAGAAATAAAAAGTATGCATACCAAATACACATATTATTTATTTGTCAATATGTATATTATTTGTGTGTATGTGCATATACGCTAATTCAAAAGAAACAAAAACCTGTACTAGTAATAAAACAAACACTATGCATGGAACACCATCCTCAACTTAAACTGATTGATAAGTTATTCAGTGACTTGAAGTATCTGAAGTCAAGTCTTTTACATCAGATCCTACAAATTGTTTACATCCCACCATTATACGGAGGCCTTTGGCTTGCTCTCCCAAGCAGCAGTGAAGAGCCATGGTTTGGCTAGGCTATAGTCAAATACAGAGGAAGTAGTGAATCAAATAACAGATTAGACCTCTAAGTCATTCACAGGCTCTCTCTCTCCTCTTTGCTGAAATTATGAAATTTAGTGAGGAAAAGAAAAATTCACCATTGTGTTATACCGCAGTTAACTGGCTGGTAATTACTTGTAGTTTGGTTGAACTGAAAAATATACCAGTGTAATTTTATCAATTAACATCAAAAAAGTGTTTAATTTAATATTAGTTTGGAAATAAGAAGAGTATGTGCATAGTAAACATAGAAAAACAGCATGAAAATGTCAGGTGCTGGACTAAAAAAAAAATCACTGAAGCTTGAAACTATGCAAGTTTTCTGTATTGCAGTTAATTTCAAGGAGTAAAATGCTAATTATGTCAAAACTTATCTGATACACTGATACAACGAAAAGATCTAAAATGCATTCTAGTTAATGTTATCATCATCATTACTGTTTTGTGTATTGTAATACTCATATGGCAACACCATTTGATACATTCTAGTTAATGTTATCATCATCATTACTGTTTTGTGTATTGTAATACTCATATGACGTATGGCAACACCATTTAATACATTCTAGTTAATGTTATCATCATCATTACTGTTTTGTGTATTGTAATACTCATATGAAAATACCATTTGATACATTCTAGTTAATGTTATCATCATCATTACTGTTTTGTGTATTGTAATACTCATATGATGTATGGCAACACCATTTAATACATTCTAGTTAATGTTATCCATATGAGTATTACAATACACAAAACAGTAATGATGATGATCAACACCATTTGATACATTCTAGTTAATGTTATCATCATCATTACTGTTTTGTGTATTGTAGTACTCATATGGCAACACCATTTGATACATTCTAGTTAATGTTATCATCATCATTACTGTTTTTTGTATTATAATACTCATATGATGTATGGCAACACCATTTGATACATTCTAGTTAATGATATCATCATCATGTGACATTTCTTTAAAGGCACTGAGATCTGTATTGGTAAAAACATATACAAAATGATTTACTTTTTCATGAAAACTTGGTCACCCCTGAATAGAAACTTATCAACTGAAATAAATTATTTTCACAAGCTAAACCATAATCAACCCTTTACATGATTTTTTTTTTCACTAATGTCAGTTCATACCTTTGATTTTATAAACCATAAATAACCAGTAAATGCTTAGAAGATATTGCTTCACTGGATTTCATTCAAAATCCTTTTAACATAACATTACAGGATAACAAGTGACCTTTTGATTCATCTAAACCATCTTCTCCACTAAATTTAACTAAATACTAAGAAATGCAAAGCCAACCCTTGTCATTCAAATATTTATCAACCTTTTCCTTAAACTCTCTTAAATTAATTGCATCTACCATATCTGAAGACAATCCATTTCAAAAGCCAACCACCCAATTAGAAAAATAAAGTTGTCTTAGCTGAATATGACTCCTACCCTGCCTATATATATATATAGTTTCACCATCAAATATGAAAAAAGATGATGCATCAACACTATCAATTCCCTTAACAAACTTAACACCAATCAGATCCCTCTAACTATACTTGTGTTCCCTAGGTCTTACCACTTTTACCATTAAATACAAATAAAGATGATACATAAACACTATCACTTCCCTTAACAATCTTAACCTTAATCAGATCCCTCCTAATTCTTCATTTTTCAAGAGAAAACAAATTCAGAGAATATACCCTTGCATGACAAATTTTCCATAGATCTTAACCTATCCTCATATGACAAACTTTCTATAGATCTTAATTTTTCCTCATATGACAGACTTTCCATAGATCTTAACCTTTCCTCATATGACAAACTTTCCATAGATCTTAACCTGTCCTCATATGACAAACTTTCCATAGATCTTAACTTTTCCTCATATGACAAATTTTCCATAGATCTTAACCTATCCTCATATGACAAATTTTCCATAGATCTTAACCTATCCTCATATGACAAACTTTCTATAGATCTTAATTTTTCCTCATATGACAAACTTTCCATAGATCTTAACCTGTCCTCGTATGACAAACTTTCCATAGATCTTAACTTTTCCTCGTATGACAAACTTTCCATAGATCTTAACTTTTCCTCATATGACAAACTTTCCATAGATCTTAACCTTTCCTCATATGACAAACTTTCCACAAATCTTAACCTGTCCTCGTATGACAAACTTTCCATTCCAGATATCATCCTAGTAGCCCTCCTCTGAATCCTTTCTAATAATTCAATGTCCTTTCTAAGGTAAGAAGCCCAAGAATGAACACAATACTCCAAATGTAGCCTAACCAGTGACTTGTACCATGACATTTGAACATCTTTAGTCTTAAGATCTGAAACAGCTTTAACTATAAATATATATACTATCACTGCTAAAATTACATTTAAAGTAAACTTTTTTTGAATAATTTTTATACAATGTAAAATTGTATTTAAATGTTTATGATATATATATATACTTATTAATCCACAAAAAGATATTAATCTAATTACTTCAGCATTTAAATTTGTTAATGGTCTTAAACCCACTAACCTTTGTTTAACAAAGTGAGTAAGCATGTAAATGTATGTGCCATTTGTTAGTTTTCTGTTTGTCACAAGAACATAACCATGAATAAGGCACTAACCAAAGATAAGTGTTTGGAAATCATGTTGATGTACAAAATAAAAAAAATAATCACAAAAAGAATATTCATGAACCATAACATCAGCCAGTTTTCTATCCAAACTCAATAAATCTGTAATGCTCCAGTAAGAATGGATACATACACACAAACACAAAAAATAAACCAGATGTAATAAATAATCTGTGACCCATTACAAGAGAGAACATAAAAGGTAAACATATGGCAATATAACCATCTAGTTCATACTTTTTGTCCTTTCAGACATATGCTACAGTCATACAACCAAGCTGTTTTAGATTTTAAATAAAAACCAGTGACCAGCATACATGACTCAGAAATAGTTACAAACTGGAAAATTACCAGGAGATGACAAAAAAAAAAACACACACACACACAAAGTGATTGTTTTAACAAAATACTAACTACACATACTTAGTTTAATGAACAGGTTGATTTTCAATGAAATCTGAATTTCATCTCAACTTCTAAATTAGAGAATAATGTTTTACTTTTTTCAATCTAAATAACAAAAAAAATTTCATAACCACCAGCATGATTATCCATATCAAACACTTAAGTTTAGTTAACATTAGTTAGAGGAAGCAAAAACAACCTTGTTTTGTGCTTTGAAAAATATGTAAGTGTAATCTTAAAAAACATTTTTTTTAATCATTCAATATTAAGTATTGGTAGAATTAATAGCTCATCAATAATGAAACACTTTTTTTTGCAAACAAAAAATGTTTTAAAAAGTGAACAAACAGGATCAACTTATCAGGTATAATTATCCAAAATATTCATTCTGAAGAACAAGTAAAATAAGCCATATTTGTTAACTTACACAGTATTTTAAATTTTTAACAGATTATATTACGTACATAAATGTTCCACAAAGGATGCACGACTAATTTTATTTATGCACTGAGTAGGAACCAGATTAACTTGTCAGACAATAAATAAAACTTGTACTTTTTTGCCAATTGCCTTGAAAACACTTGTAAAAGGAGCAAAACTTATAAACAACTAGATGCAAATTATAGCTTAAAAAACATGATCTGAATACCCTGGGTTGAGTCTGATGGACAGAGATAGCTAGCAACATAGAAATAGTTTTGAAGGTCAAATTACATTCACAAAAACAAAAAAAAACTGTCAAGATATGATAGCAACACTAACAAAGATGTAAATAAACAAAGATTTTTCTTAAGCTATGAAAACTAATGTTGCAAAAATCAGGATATGCAATGTTGGGAAAAGCTTCTGGAATTTACATACCTACAAAAATCAGGATATGCAATGTTCGGAAAAGCTTCTGGAATTTACATACCTACAAAAATCAGGATATGCAATGTTAGGAAATCTTCTGGAATTTATATACCTACAAAAATCAGGATATGCAATGTTAGGAAAATCTTCTGGAATTTATATACCTACAAACACAAGGCACACATGCTAAAAAATGGCTTCAAATTGCAGAATTCAAGAGGAAAAGAGTTGGAACATAGATAATATGCCAACTTTAGCTTTTTTCATAGTTCAGATTCATTTACCAGTAACATGTTGCTATTCTACATTTAAATGTTTTGTTTTTGGGTACCTTTAATGATTAAAAAAATAAAACATCTCAAAAATATTACACATTTGGTCTGTCTCAATGACTAATGGTATCATTAGGATTAACAATTTAAAATTTTTTTATTAAAAAAGAAACCAAAAACAGTCAGTTAAAGTCTAATAACACTATTCTATGAGATAATTGTTCTCCTTTTTGAAAACAATTTAACTTCAACAAAAATAAACACAAATACTAACACACATTGAAAACCTGAATGTATATGTATTGTTAAACTGTTACGACCAGAAAAATACAACAAGGCCAGCTTTCCTCCTTTAATATTTGCTTTAGATGAAATTCAATGTATGAAAACCGTACTCTCAAAAAGACTTAGATAACCTGTTCAGCTTATTATGCAATTTAAAAAAAAATGTAATTCTCAAAAGTGAAAAGGAAATAATGAAAGAAAAATATTAAATTTGACATTTTTTCTATAATTTACATTTAGAAACCTCAACAACGGCACCATAATGTATTATAAATACTAACAAATGCAAAAATTAGATATAAGATCACAACTCATTATACTGAAAGCGGAGCTAACAGTGATTAATCAAAAAATCTCTTAGCTAAGATTTATAACACAGGTAAGAACAGAAACTTCTATGCCAGCTAGAGTGATAATAAATCAATTATATGTAATGCAAATTTTCTATATAAAACACAAAAATATTACTTAAATCTCAAACCCAGGTCTACAGGGAGTATCAAATACACAATTCATTTACCTATGTAAGAATACTTAAATTTTAAAACACACTAAAGATAAATATCAATATTAAAAACAACACATGGTAAGTACTTGCGACTAGCAAGTTTAAATAGCAATAATCACTAGAAAAAAAGATTCTGACCATAGAAAGCTCACATATATGTGAATTTACCCTGACTTTCATTAGAGTATTCAAAATACTTAAAGTTAATCCTACTATATTACTTCAGGGTTGTTAGGACAAATTTACAAATGTAACATGAATTTATCTTCACCATTATGTGTACATGCATTAGTACATTAGGTTGGATTAATTATACTTGATCATCAGAAAATGTGATATTTAAAGCTCAAACGTGATACTACCAACATACTAAATTAAAAATAAAATATGGTACTTCTGGTAATTATGTAAAAATACAAGTTCACAGAAGCAATATTAATTCCAAGTTGATTTTACTAACAATGAATAAATGTAATGTATGAACAGAAGTTTGATGATATGAAAGAGTTCTTTACCCTAACAAATGGAGTTACAATTACTCACCTACCAACCACCCATCTTACCCTAACAAATGGAGTTACAACTACTCACCTTCCAACCACCCATCTTACCCTAAGAAATGGAGTTACAACTACTCACCTACCAACCACCCATCTTACCCTAAGAAATGGAGTTACAACTACTCACCTACCAACCACCCATCTTACCCTAAAAAATGGAGTTACAACTACTCACCTACCAACCACCCATCTTACCCTAAAAAATGGAGTTACAACTACTCACCTTCCAACCACCCTTCTTTCTGCAGGACTAAAACAAAAAATAAGTGTTTGCTAATGCATTTTTCTGTAACACCATAACTAACATATAACACAAATGTGTTCATACAAGGTCTACAGTATTGCATACAATTCCATCTTTACTACTAAAAACATTTTGAAACACTCAATTTTTTTTATTAAAAAAACAAAACACTTTGATCATATGCTGTGCTATGAGTTTAAAATAATTTTGGTTGTATACAAAACTCATACTTTCACACAAAACAATATTATAAGAACATATGGTAACCAGTTATAGAAACAGTTCAAGACCAAATTATTGTTACTCCTAAAGTCCATGCTTTCATAACAGTCATGTTATATCATGACTAATATTAAGGAAAGGCAAGTATAATGATGAGCATATGTAAACTGAACACTAAGTAACCAGATAAGACCAAGTTATTTTCTAATTCAATGAAGAGAGTAAGGCATGTAAAAGAATTTTTTAGTGTTGTTACAGATATAGCTCAATCTTTACTTCTGATTGACAATTTCTTTACATTCTACCTCCAATGTTTAAATAACTAAACTTTCATAGGCACATTAGGGATACGTAATAACTCAAACGAACAATGCAGTAGTAAAACTATAACATCAATAACAACCTCAAATTAGAATAAGGTAGTTTCATTACAATGAAACAAAGTTTACCCATCAGAAAAACATCAAACCAATCACATCTTTAATGCAGCTTTTACTTGAAGTCTAACTTCTTTTGCCACATCTTCTTACTTCAAATTTATTTGAATTATGAAGCCTTCATAACTATACCCTATAACAAAAATTAAGTATCACAGCTGCAATACTTTCGCTGAAGAAGTTGGTATGATATTATACTGTTATATCTTTTATAGAGGTGGCAACCACTACTAAATACAAACATCGCTTGCATTGTATATCACATATCATATGACAGCCATCAAAACATGAAAGTGGCCAAAAATTGCCATTTAAAAAAAAAATGCCCAATTTTTTTTTATGCACAGGAAATAGCAATTAGAGGATACTTAAAATATCATCATGGCTTATTCTAGGTTATACATAACTTTACATTAAAATCCTCATTGGCAATAATTTTCTTTTTAATTTTTAGTTTACAAATAGTAAAAAGTATAAAATGCAACTTAAGAAATATATGATTTATTTGAATAGTAATATAACTTTAAACTTATTGTTGCCATTATTGTTGGCCACCTTACTAATGACTTCTGAAAAATAGATTACTTATCTTATGGAGTTAGACATACATTTCCTAAATAAGCATCAAAATTCAGTCATAGTAACAAATCACTGTCTTTGTCACTCTCTTCAGGAAGTCTAATCATATTTTTAAGCTTTTCAAAGGTTTCCTGGTTTGGCTCTTTGCTCATAGGGAAATAGAAAGGTTCATATTTAATATTTCGAAAGAAATAAGGACACTGCTGTAAATGGTTTGACATGTGAGAACCATCCTCAAAACACCACTTGTAAATGGGGGAAAATGCAGTGCTGAAAAACCATCTCTGAAAAAAAAAATACAGCTACATTAAAATCAATAATAAAATATTCATTAAAAAATAGATTATGACCATTTTGCTAGTTGAGTGCTACTGAATATAAACAGCTGAATTTTTAACCTCAATAAAAAGATTCCAAGCAGACACATTACACCATACTATCTTGATTTTTTTACTAGAGGTCTAATGGATACAGGTATGTTATTGCATGTTTCAACTTTAACTTAGTACCAGCTTTTGAAAGTGTTATATATAATACATATGACTTAGAAGTGTTAGGCTTTCTATGTTATCACTGAAAATGCACTAATGTTAAAACTAAGAATCATAAACAGGCCATGCTAATACCAAAACAAGAACAAGACTATTTAAAAAAAGTTTGATGCAAAGAATTAATTAATTAAAATTTTTCATGCATAAATTAAATAACTTGTTTTATACTTCTATACAATAATTGTGATTTTATTGCAAACTGTGATACATTCTTCTATGTTTGTGATCCGAAATCAGTTTTGTAAAGCACATAAAACACAGAAAATCCAGAGTTTAGAATTAAAACAACAAAAATAAAATACTATTATTGGAGAGTAGTCACATGATTTGTACATGTTCAGAAATGGAGCAAAAATGGCAGGGTATAAAGACTGATGTGTTGATCACTAAAAATTCTTTTAGCAATGCTTAGAGGGCAGACAATGATTGAGATAGCTTTCGTGTGAGAAGAGGGTAAGTCCGTTTCATAATTACGACTGATTCCCATTATTTTATATTGCCATTTCAATGTTGGAACACCACGAAATATTTATAACTCAGACTCCAGCCAATTTGTTTTAAGGACATTAATATATCTGTACAACATATTGGGTTGAAATATAAGGTTGTTTATTTGTTGAATTTCATGCAAAACTACTTGAGGGCCACCTCCACCAGCCTTCCCTGATTTTAAAGTTATGTTCAACTGTTGGTCTTCTCTAATAGAATAGTGGGATTTCACTGCCACTCTTATAACATGCCCATGGCCCCAAAGTACAAAACACAATTTTTGTGGTAACAGGGTGTGTACCATGGAACCTCAGATCCACAGCCCAGCATGCTAATCACTCAACAGTGCTTTGCCTGTTGAAATATTCAACTGTATAATTAAATTTCAAAAGTAATTATAGCCTTTTTACTGAACTAAGTAATTATACAACTTATAGCAAATAATACTAGTCAACAAGTATCAAATACTTGCACTCCCAGTAATACAGTGATTCATATAATCAAGTGCTATATATAACTCTTCCTTGTTACAAACAAGTTAATCATTCTTAGGTTATAGAATGTCACAGCTGAAAAAGCATGACACATAACGGTATTATGTGTGTGATACTGCATCACAATAATACAGATTATTTAAATCCCATCAATCTTTACCTATTCAGTATGGGTTACCAGTAAGAACAACGTACAGAAATGCTATTGCGTACTCTATTCCAAGTGGGCCAATTCAGAATAACATGGTTTAACTTGCTATCTTATAAAAGAAAATTGAAGAGGATTCCTACAGTGTCTGTAATACACTTTTTTGAGTGTCAGTAAATCTTAGACAGAATATCATCAAACCTTGTAGGCCTGACACCATGAATATCTCCCACCAGAACACTTTCTCCTTTCCCACTGAAAAATGACCAGTCCTTTCTCATCCAGTAAAGAGCTAGCTATGTCTCTGAAGAGTTTCGATGTAAGTGCCAAGTTACACAGACTAAAGCCATCAAGGAACCTTGCAATATGCTGGAGGACCTGAAAATAGTCATCAACATTTCTTGTAAAATCTATTATTCTGCAGACAGTATTCATCTATATTTCTAACAGTTTTGGGCAAACTAATTCAGAAATAGTACGTCTTCAGCTTACGTTGAACAACAAAGAATGAAGCCTATCAATATTCAGTGTTTTTATGGAAAATCTTATTTTCAGAGTGTTTGTAGCTATATAGTAATCAATGGATAAGTCTTATCCTCATTAATAAGTTTAACCATTAAGAGGTCAACCTAAAACCAGTTAAATATTGATTAACAGATGGTTATTCATAAATTTCCATTAGAAATTTTTGAAAAGATAAGATGGATAAAGCTTTTGACAAATTATTACATATTATTTTTATCTCAGTAGCATAATTAGAAAAAACAACTTAATAAACTTTCATAATTTAAAACCTAACATAACTTATATTATTAAAGGGTGAGGAAAGAGGCAAATTTCCTCATATCTAAAATGTTTTTGATAAAACTTTCCTCACAACTTCTTATTTCCAACTTATTAGTAAATGTTGGTTGACTAACACTGGAATACTGCAGCAAAAGCAATTAATTTTGAATTTATTCATCTGTATAGTAATCACTGCAATTGAATGATGTCACTTCAAAAGAGTTGTGTTCTTTTCATTCGTAATTTCCTTCTCTCATGAGGTAATTTACCTCCTCTTCATACGGAAACATTAAATAGTGGAGGAAATTTATGGTCTGTAAGGTCAAATATTTCCTCTTGGCATCACAAAGAAATTTAACTTCCCCTTCTATACGAGGAAATTTTTATATGAGGTGGGAAAAATTTTAGGACCTTCAGATCAAACATTCCCCCATTAAAGTTTTTAGCCCAAGACAAATTTCCTCATATCTAGGATACTTTTTTTATACCCATCAAAATTAGCAATTCAGTTTTTAAAGTGTCATTACAATACTTCTTCCTACTGGTCAACCAGCTTGAAAATGTTTTAAAATGTCAGGAGTAAATAATCTATTAATGTTACTAGAAGGGTAAATCTAACTGATAAGAGTTTATCATAAAAATAATTTGATAAAAATCAGCAAACAGTGATTGATAAGAGAATTTGAGTTTACTTAACCTATTTTTTACTCTTTTTTTCAGTCACATTTAATAGGAAACCCAAAGATGAAATTTCTAAATGATGTTTTAAATTAATTCATGGTTTTACTATAACCATGTAAGCCAAAGGTTAGTGAATTAAGCCAAACTTTTATACAAGCTTTATTTATTTCTGAGTCTACAAACTTGATATACAAAATATATTTAACACTGTGCTTTTCACAGTAATATCTCCGAGTTTATTTACAAGCTTTATCATTATTATTGTCCTTTAGCACAAACTAAATAGACAGGTACTGGACACCTCATATTCAAATTTAAATATATTTTTTAAATGTTTTGCCTAAAGAAATAACTTTTGGTAAATAATCCTTTCATCATTAACCATACTTACACAGGTGGGGCTCAAAGTGCAAAAGCCATGACCTTTTATTGAGTGTCACTGAATATGATATCATGTCAGAGTTAACAGTTGTTCAATTTACTCTACAATGCTGATAACTAAAATAACTAAATAACTAAAATATCCAGTAAGCTAAAAAATTTACTTCAAAAGGAAACTGGGTGATGTGGAGCATTCCTTTCTGGTTTCCACCACATGTTCCATTTTTCAGACTAGAATCACCAGCTTCAGGAATCACCTCCATGCTTGTTCTTCTCTGAAAGGTCAATTTCTCAGTTCTTCCTGGTGACCTATGACACATACAATTTTGTTCAATGTTGTTAGTACTTTAATACTGGAGCCATTTAGATTTAATTATATGTGGACTAACTAACTAACTAATACTACAAAATGTTTTATAAAATCTACGTTTTTAGTCTGACCTTCTTGTATGCTTCCAATCCATTTGATTAGTAATATTATGCTCATCATTCCACAAAGGTGGCTGAACCCCAAAACTTTCCAAAATGTCACTATGTAGAACTACAGATCCTTTTGGAGCGGGGTAGAATCTTCGGCAGGAAAACATACAACCATACTGAGCTAGAGGACATCTCTGTTCTAACCATCCATTCAGACCACCATGAATGTCACCATGTACGTTACGGTAGTGCCAAGCATATTCATCACGCCGAAATTCCTATGGCAAGAAAATTACCTTCCAAATGTAGCACTTATAAGGTACATAACTACAAAATATTAAGTATTCAATGAAAGTTGGGACAATAGCATACTTAAGTTATAAGAACGAAAAACATATAAAATGTAGGATTTTTTAACTAATTCATTAATCTTTTTTTTTTCAGACTACCACAGTAGTTACAGTAATAAATTTACTGTACTATACAGTCGTATGGGCCATTATACACCATATAAACAATATTTTACAATTTAAACAGTTCTTTCTGCAGGGAAAGTTTACAAATTTAGGTAAAAAGAGACAATTATTAAATCAGATTGAATACATTATGTTAATAGCATCAACATTAATAGCTCACAATTTTGTTTACAACAATAATGTTTTGTACTAAACATTTCTCTTAAAAACTTAAGTAACATATTTCAGTTTTCTTTCATTTTTATTTAACTTGTTTCTTTGATTCAGTGATATTATTACACACAGTCTTCATACTGCTGTACAATATTTTTTTAATTTAGATAATTTTATTATTGTTTGTCTGGAGTGAGTTTCCTCATCAGTTTACAAAATGATTTGACCTATATAAAAATAAGTTACACTAAAGTTGACTAACTTGTGAGACAGTTACAATGATTGATTGATGATTTGACCTATATAAAAATGAGTTACACTAGAGTTGACTAACTTATGATACAGTTACAATGATTGATTGATGATTTGACCTATATAAAAATAAGTTACACTAGAGTTGACTGATTTGTGAAACAGTTACAATGATTGATTGATTTACCAAATTTGTTGGTCAGTCTGTCAGGGAGTTAGTTCAGTTTTGTGAATATTTAGCTTGTGTTTCAATGACATAGTGGTTAAACCAGGTGTGCTGTTCAGGTTTGTGAATATTCAGTATGTGTTTCAACGACACAGTGGTTAAACCAGATGTGCTGTTCAGTTTTGTGAATATTTAACTTGTGTGTCAATGATACAGTGGTTAAACCAGATGTGCTGTTTAGTTTTGTAAATATTTAGTATGTGTTTCAACGACATAGTGGTTACACCAGATGTGCTGTTCAGGTTTGTGAATATTTAGTATGTGAATGACATAGTGTTTAAACCAGAGGTGCAATGCAGTTTTGTGAATATTTAGCTTATGTTTCAATGACATAGTGGTTAAACCAGATGTACTGTACCTACAAGAAAATTGGCAAGTAAGTGAAATTGTTGTATTAGCATCTACTGTAAACTAAAGCCTATCAACAAACATTAATAAAGTTAACTTGTAGAACTTGAAATTCAAGATATAAAATGCTTTCATAACAATTATGTAGAAAGGACTTTGTATTCTTATCAAATAATTCAAAAGAACCCACAACAATAACCATTACAACAATATATTTTTGTCTTGTAGTCATGTATAATGGACATAAAAATAAAAATACGAGGTTAAGCTTTGGACTAACACAGGACTTTATATTACACACACATATTGTTTATACTGGTTACCAAAATTGTGTATTCTGCACCTGCCATTTATGTTCTATAAAAATTCCAGTCTTTATCCATTGTAAACATTCTTCAATTTCTAAGAGATTTTTTAATGCATAATAAGAACTGAATATAGAATTGTTTTTTAAATTTACCATGCCAAGTGTCCATTTCTAATCTAGCATTATCTGTAATTATACCATGCCAAGTGTCCATTTCTAATCTAACATTATCTGTAATTATACCATGCCAA